ATGGCGTCAAATTGGGAACCCCCTTCTCAGATTTTACCTCATCTATTTCTTGGCTCTTATTTATGCACCCACAACAAAGAGGAACTTCTAAAAGTTGGCATCAAGTAAGTTCTGACAGTCGTGTTTCATATACAAGTTACGTTCATTTGCAGGTACATTCTAAACCTTACTGATTCTCCAAATTAGCATCCGAATTCTTTCATTTACCTCCAATGTCCTGTCAAAGATTCTTCTTCTCACGATATCTTACCTTTGTTCGAGCAAGTGTTCAACTTTATTGATCAAATATGAAGTATCTGTCGGTTTGGCGTTTTCAGATAGTCGATGGTGTGGGTGTGGTTCTTCTCATCAACCACATTCACTCACACCCACACCAATCCTAGTTTCTTCATGTTATTGAAAATTTTTTTCGATAGTTGATTTCTATAACCATGTGTGTATGTTTACTCTCTTAACAAATTATATATTCTTCATCTGAAAAATGTTGACAATGTTTCAGTGCATCAAGCAAACAAGAGATAACACGAACGAAAATAAAATGTGTTGTCATCCAAAGAAAAGAAAAACGAAAATATCATAAAAAGAGTTTATTCATGTTGTTTTCATTGTTGTTACAGTTATAAAACTTGTTTCCCACATAGTAAGTGTGGGGGTGATGTGACAATGGCCGTGACAGTAGGTGTAAGCCTAGCTCTAGATGGGAGGATATTAGTAAATGAAATACTTTGATCCAGACCCCATTGTGCCGATATTGATGACACGCTTCGATGATTCTCCTTCTTCCTCCTTCTGTTCTCTTCCCATTGTTCTAATATATCTCTCTCCTCCCTCTCTCCTATATATACGTGTGTTATGTATGAAGTTGTTACACTCTGGATATATGAAGTAGCTAATAAATATCATTGCCAAGAGTGGTGGCAAGCTGCTCCAATCCAGTTTGTCGTTACACCCATATATAGTGGAATCTAAAAATTCAAGAATGAAGATTTCACATGACATTGATTCAGCAGTTCTAGTCCTATTCTTAGTTTTAAGTTTTTGAATTCAGCAAAATAATAGAACTTTGTCTGACTTGAAAAGATGCCAGGTAGAAAACTTTACTGAATAGGTTAGACATATAAGTTTTGGAACCCATAGATTTCATTTATACATCTATAGATGAGAGATAGAAATTATACAATCACACAATTACTTTTAAAAAAAGTGCTATGTTGAACTACGCATTTTGTACATATTTAGTATGAAAGAGACGTTCGTTTTTTCATTATGATACGAAATTAATTGTATCCTGTAAGAAACTTTTCATTAGTTTCTGAAGATCCATGATTAAATATAATTTTGTAATTGATACGAAATTTCCTAATCAGAAAACGAAATTCTTATCTCTATATGACTTGTAATACATTAAAATCTATCGAATATCGAGATGTCTTTTGTTTTATTTTCTTTAAGTTATTAGATATCTCTTATCTTTACGTGAACATGGTGATCACATTTACGTGGTGCATGTGCAAATTTACTTGCTAAATTAACTCAAAAAATAGTTCCTCTTTTACCAATATCATCTTTATCAAGTTCATTTAATATTTTTTTGTATTAATCAATGTTCATTCATCTCAATTGATTCACAAGGTAGTTCAAGATTAAGTTAGAAAATTAGTCCTTTTTTTATAGGTATTCAATGAGGTATATTAGCTGAATTACTTTCTACATTTCGATCATGTCTTGATAATAATAATAAACGTGTTATACATCTTTCACTAAATGCTTTACGAACACAATTACCAGTTTTATTAATTAATAGTTACGCATTTACAATCATAGGAATTGTATCATTAGAAGATTGTATTCAACATAGTGCAAATTCTTATGTTCTTGCTAAAGTAGAAAATATAAGTAATAACCAGGGCTCGAAACGGGCCTCATTTTTATGGCCCAGTCCGGCCCAACGCGGCCCAGCTAAAGTGGTGGCCCGCCCGGCCCGTTCTAATTTTAGTGCGGCCCGGCCCGAGCCCGCCCTTGGATTTGCCTGGCCCGCCCGGCCCGGCCC